ATGTCAGATGCCGAAAGGGGCTGAGCCACCGTCCTGATGGCTTCGTTCCATTGTCCAGTTCAGCCCCAGTCTCTCCTCGTCGCACAGTCGGCCATGCTTGGCAGGTTCTTAGCCACAGTCGAGTCCTTCCACTTACACGGATGGTGGCTCAATACAGATGGGAAGCGTACGACGCTGATGTGAAGCTTGCATGCCAAAAATATCACCCAAAGGAAGCTAACAAAGTAAAATAACACACGGTGAGATTGAGTAAGATGTGGAAATTTGCTGTTTACGAGCAATGGGCATATTTTGGAAGACGAGGACATTTCTATAAAAGTCGAGGCCGTGGACATGGACATCGACAACTTTCTTTTCGTATTCTCATCAGCATCTTTACTCACGATCAACAATCAAAAGTCAACAGTCAACAATAAACTCAACACTCTCACCACTCTCAACAAAACAACACAACAACACCAACACATAACACTCCACCGCCTTCTCCATCTACCACCCAAAAATCAACATGTTCGCCAAGACTGCTTCCATCGTCGCCCTCCTGGCCGCGGCCGCCTCGGCTGTGCCTACGGCCACCACGGGCGGCAACCTCGCCTCCCGCACCAACGGCGAGCGCGCCATTACCCACACGGTCGTCGCCGGCCGCGCGGGCCTCCACTTCGACCCCGAGAACGTCGTCGCCGAGGTGGGCGACGTCATCGAGTGGCACTACCTGCCCGCCAACCATTCCGTGGCCCAGTCCAGCTTCGGCGCGCCCTGCCGGCCCCTGAGCAGCGGCGAGGGCTTCTTCTCCGGCTTCCAGCCCGTCGCCTCGGGCCAGGGCCCGGACGTCTTCCAGATTGTCGTGCAGAACAGCAACCCCATCTGGTACTACTGCGCGCAGACCAAGGGTAACCACTGCCAGGCGGGCATGTCCGGCGTCATCAACCAGAAGTTTGACACGCCCAACACGCTGGCGGCCTACAAGGCCGCAGCGGCGCTGACGGGCGTCTCAGTGGTGCCGGAGTGGATCCACCCGGCCGAGAACCTCATTCCCAACCCCAACCCCCTGAGCGGTTTTTAAAGGGGGTTGTGGCGACGACGGCGGCGCTCTCTTCTTTTTATTTACTTTTTTATTTTTTTTAACAATTTCACTCTCCTTTTGCCCAATAGACGGAAACGATGATATTTGCATAGCACAGGATTGCATGGCACGGGCTCTTTTGGCGTTTTGAATCGGTTTTGTGGATCTTGGGTACCCGGGAGGGGATTTGGTCTTTGGTCAAATGTTTGATTGTCTTTTATCTTCGTCTTCACTCTCTTCTTATTTTATTTTTGCATACATTTCTTGCGTCAGAGCAGCCATTCGCTTTGCAAACTATACAAATCAATATTTTTTCTGGAAAAAATGACCGTCCGTTGTATCCAATGGCGCGTGACTTGCAGAAAAAAGCACGCTCCTGTGCATCGTCTACACTCGGCTGGATAAACGCTCGAGAGGAACAGTACGTGGACGAACTGCCGTATCGACTCTTGTCGACCAACGTACTCTCCCGCCAAACAAGCGCTCACGAGACTGGAATATATATTGCCCCTGTTAAGGACGTCTTCGATACTTAGCACTGATTGCTGCCATCCTTTTCCCTTTCGTTTCATGCAACTTTCGGTGTGGCGTGTCTATCCAGTTTAGCGAGGCCGACAGAGTAAGACTGTTGGCGACAAATAGAGGCTGAGAGAGACAATGAATGGTTTTATCCGGATGATTCCCAAATTTATGTTTATTTGCTTTCTCCGGACGGAGATGCCAAGATGAAATCAAAATATACAATTCAACGGCTAATCTGGAGCGGAGATTTAATGCTGCAGATTGCGGAGGGGGGGTTCCTTTTGTATTCTATTTTTCTGTTCCTCTTCGGTGTCCCGTACGTCAACGTCCGCCATGACCCACAGATTACCATTTCCTTTTCCTTTTGATTTTTACTTTTTGTTTTATGAAATCCCTTACTTCCCAGTATCCTCGCACTCTCCTCCCGCTTCTGTCCCTTCCCTTTCCCCAGACTTGTCCCCGCGTATGTATTCCGTTAAGCCCTATTAGTGGAATCAGCGGACGGCTGCCCGTAGGATACAGAACGGAAACAAAAGACAAGCTTCTGTCAGGTCCTTGGTACTATCAAGGCGAGATGGCCACGGCATTTAAAGTGAAATGACCACAAGCATAGAGTAAACTCCTAGGCATCGGCAGCAGTCGCCAACAAGAATAAGCTCAAGAACGGTTTGTTCTTCGGAAGTATTAAACGGAGAGCACGACTCGACCACCCTGTCTAATCTATTTTCCACTACGCCCCCGGGACTACGGAGGGAGGGTCGGCAATCAGGAGCTAGGGGTCAAAGCAAAAGTCTGGATGAAGTCAATATGGACGTAGGGTAAGATGAGGGGATGGATGGAGAGGTCACCAGTTGCCGGTTTACTGGGTTATCGGCTCTCTTAAATACGTCGTAGGTTCGTCCATGCCGTCGGAGCAGGATCGATTTCCTATGCGTTGCCGCAAGCGCACCATTGAGCCCACCATTTGCACCAGCATCCGTTCTCATCATGGCCATCCTCAGCAAACTGACCACTGCGGCGGCCGTTGCGTCGTTTTGTAAGTTTGTCGAGCCCCACGTGTGTGTCGTGCCGACACGATACTGACTTCCCAGGCACGTCGGCGTCGGCCCTCGTCCTTCGCGATGGCAACAGCACCGCCCCTGCCTGCCACGCCGTCCCCGCCAACAAGACGTACGACTACATTGTCATTGGCAGCGGCGCCGGCGGCATTCCCATGGCCGACCGTCTCAGCGAAGCCGGCCACTCGGTGCTGCTGCTCGAAAAGGGTCCCGTGTCGACTGGCCGGTGGGGCGGCACGATGAAGCCCAAGTGGCTCGACAACACGAACCTGACGCGATTTGATGTCCCCGGCCTGTGCAACCAGATCTGGCACGACTCGGTCGGGGTCGCCTGCACAGACGTGGACCAGATGGCGGGCTGTGTGTTGGGCGGGGGCACGGCCGTCAACTCGGGCCTGTGGTGGAAGCCGAACCCGCAGGACTGGAACTGGAACTTCCCCGATGGTTGGAAGTTCGACGACATGGTGGAAGCCACCTCGGCCGTCTTCTCGAGAATCCCGGGCACCACGCACCCGTCCATGGACGGCAAGCTGTACCGGCAGGAGGGCTTCAACGTGCTGGGCGGCGGGCTTAAGGCGGCCGGGTGGCAGGAGATTGTGCCCAACGAGCACCCTGAGCTCAAAAACCACACGTTTGGCCACAGCACGTTCATGTACAGCGGCGGCGAGCGCAGCGGTCCGCTGGCGACGTACTTGGTCTCGGCCAGCCAGCGGGGACCGGACAAGTTTGCCCTGTGGCCCAACACAATGGTGCGGCGGTTGGTGCGCACGGGCGGACACGCCACGGGCGTCGAGATTGAGTGCACGACCCTGGGCGGTGGAAGTGGTGGCCATGCGGGAGTGGTGCAGCTGACGCCCGGCACGGGCCGTGTGATTGTATCGGCGGGCGCCTTTGGATCGGCCAAAGTGTTGTTGCGCAGCGGCATCGGTCCGGCCGACCAGCTCAACATCGTTAAAAACTCAGCCGAGGACGGTGCCACGATGATTGGCCAAGACAGCTGGATCGATCTTCCCGTCGGATACAATTTGAACGACCATGTCGGCACCGACATCGAGATTGCGCACCCGGACGTCGTCTTCTACGACTATTACGCCGCCTGGGACACGCCCGTTGTCAGCGACGAGGACAGGTACTTGGCCAACCGCACGGGTATGCTCGCACAGGCGGCACCCAACCTGGGGCCCATGTTCTGGGAGACGATCCGAGGCACCGACGGCGTCATCCGCCATCTGCAGTGGCAAGCCCGTGTCGAGGGTGCGAGCAACACCAGCATGACCATCACGCAGTACCTGGGCACCGGCTCGGTCTCGCGCGGCCGCATGACCATCACGAAGCGGCTGGACACGTTTGTCTCGACACCGCCATACTTGCACGATGATTTCGACAAGGAGGCCGTTGTGCGCGGTATTGAGAACCTGGTCAAGACACTGTCGCCCGTGGCCAATCTGACTTGGGTTCGCCCTGCGCCCAATGTGACCGTCGCCGACTATGTGGCAAGCATCCCCGCCAAGCCGGCGCAACGCTGCTCCAACCACTGGATCGGAACGGCTAAGATGGGCCTGGACGATGGCCGCGCGGGCGGCACGGCCGTGGTCGACACCGACACGCGCGTGTACGGCACGGACAATGTGTTTGTGGTTGATGCCTCGGTCTTCCCCGGCCACATCACTGGCAACCCGTCAGCCATGATTGTCATTCTGGCAGAGCACGCTGCCAAGAAGATCCTAGCCCTGCCGCCAGTCAAGCAATCGGTCCCTCCGAAACCTCCGACCATGTAGGAGAGGGGGAACTGCAATTGTATGTGAATGGTCAAGTCACGTCGATGAGAGACACAAAGGACGTGACAACTGACCGTTTGTAAAGTATTGGTTGTTAGTACTTTATTGTTACCACCGGTATTATGTTGTTCTGTCGTGTGTTTCGAACTTTACACCATCGTGATCACCGCAACGCTCGTGATTGTGAAAACTGCTAGTTGCTTTCGTCAAGGCCGACGTGCCCCGACAACACCGCCGACCCGAAAACAGCTCGACGATGTCGTTGATCGCAGTGCAGCGCTATGCTATGTAGTGTGGGATGCTGGATTGGCGAACGGAATGGGCAACGCGACGTCGCGAAGGACAATTCAACTATGTTCGTCATGGTTGCGTTAGCATATTAAAGATGAGCTCAGACCGTATTTGAGCTTGGCAGAAAGATCTGCTGCATGATCACACCGTCATTGCCTCCGTCTGACATCCGCCGCCCGAGTGACCCATTGCCATCCTTGAAAGCGTATGTTCATGCCAGGCACGCTGATCTGTCTGTCGCTGTCCTCGGTATATTTGGTGTTTGAGCAGATTGGAAGGCCGCTGAGGTCAATGGTAGCACTGGTTCCAAGTCGTTCTTCTCACAAATGTCACGTTTACGATCATCGCCATTGCGGCACGGACAGCTTCCGCCGGTGGCAAGCAAAGAATCGTGGAAGCTGGTGTCTGTCCCCTCGTCTGGGTTCTTCCTTTTCCTTTGTCGAAACAAGAAATGACGGCTGACTTGCACCACCTATCTTCGACGTCGTCATCGTCTGGCGCGGATCTTGTGGCCTTTTGCGCAGTCGACATGGTCGCAGTAGTGGTAAATGCTTGAGAGGATGTGGAGGCTGCGAAATGGACGTCAAACGAAGAGGACGAAAAAGGAGAAAGATGCGAAGGAGGCCAAAGCAATAAACAGAAGAACACGAGGTAGGCTCAACTACCGAAATAGGTAGGCGCCCCACCAGGGGAGCTGCGGTCGACAGAGGAAGGTTCAACCAACGAAGGGAGAGGGGCACACCTGCCTCTCGGTGCCATCCATTATTTTACGAGTGTTGAGCTGTTTTCGTTTTTATTTCATGAGATGCTGTCGAAAATGCGTACATCATCATCCCATGCTACTGTCCATAATAGCATCCGGACAAATGACGTCCCCGACCACTGCCTACTCTGGCTTGCGAGCAATGACCCAGTGGAAGTCCACATCGTCGACATCGTCCGACTCCAGCTTGCTCACTTCCAACGTCAGGCCGCCTTCACCGACCACAGCCGCCTCCGTCTGCGGCATCCCCAGTCCGCTCCAGTACATCCACCCTTCGTCCTGCTTCAGCCACTTGTCGATCACCATGCCCGGCATGACGCGGTCCGAAAAGTTGGCCAAAAAGTAGCCCGTGCCCGGCTTCAGCCAGCGGCCAATGCGGCCCAGCAGCGTCGCCTGCTCGGCAGCCGGCAGGTGGATGACGCTGTAAAAGCCGACGACGGCGTCAAGCGAGTTGTCCGGGAACGCCAGCGCCATCATGTCGCCCTCGACCCAGTCGACCGTGCTCGTGCCGTCGGGGGACACCTTCTCGCCGTGCTCACCCAGCGCGTCGCGAGCCATGTCGAGCTGGCCCGTGGAGATGTCGTTGGCCGTGACGTGGACCGGGCCCAGCTCTCTCAGCAACTTCTCGGTGACCGGGCGTCCGGCGCCGCAGCCGAGCTCGAGCACGCGCAAGGGTGTCTTGTCCGTCGAGCCAGCGGGCCGCAGCTTGGCCGTCACCTGGTCGAGGTACGCAACGCGCACCGGCGAGTGGTCGACGGTCCACTTGTTGTAGACGGGCGCTATCGCATCGTACGAGGCCTTGATGCGCGCTTTCAGGTTCTCGGGGACCGTATCAACCGGGCCCGAAGGGATGTGACCATCAGCCATGGCGCAACGAGTGTCGAAATGGAATGAAACGTATTGAAAGGGGGGGGGAGATTATGGTTGAAGACTCGCCACGGTGCGTGACGATGCGTGCTGCTACGATTTGCCGTCTGTTTCTGCCCTGGTCAATTTATATGCCCTCTCGCACGTCCTTTGTATGTCAAGAAAGTCACGATGGGCAACGCCGTGATCCACGACACGTTCCCTCCGGATGACTCTTTTGGCCGTCGTGATCACTAAATGCAGGACAGTTGCGCTGCCCCACTAATTTCCCTGCTATTCTGGGGTGTCGGGCGTCACCCGTGTCGCCTAAAAGAGGCTGCCACCAGTACCGCAAGCGCTGTGGTGCCCAGTCAACTGCCGTTGAGAGGCCTCGCAGCGGTTGCTCATTGGCTAAATTGTGCTGAACTATCAATCAACAACACCTGCATTGCGGGGGATCGCCCAGCATTGTCATCTGGGGCGCAGTGATCAAAACCGTCAAGTACACGGAGCCAAGCCAAAATCAAGGCGACACACGTCGAAGTAATCGCCTTCGAACGGGAGTACGTGATTTCTTGCCGTGGGAGAGCTAATGTATAAAAAATTATGTGCTTACGTTGCGCTTCGGCATGGAATCTTAAATTCTCGTGCGAGAAGAGCGTGGGCCAATGGGAGCGCAGATCGATAAATGGAATCATGGTCCATCAGTACTGATCTTTCGAGCTTATCTGATTTGGTCCCCAGTCTATGTTTGTTTAGACAAGTCGTTCTTCTGATTCTTTCCCCACGCCTATGATATAGACTTGCACCCAAAGACTGATTGCCATGCGGTACAAATTCGCATATGTAACGAAATATTAACAAAATGAATAAAAAGTACAAGATTAAAAATAACTTTAGTTTAATTTCAGCAGATGAGTTCTTCTCGGCATAGACTGAGCCGGACCAGCATCTCTACGATTATGATATTCAGATACCTGTGTATTGCAGTTGGTTTCGGTGGCCTTTCGTCGCATATTTTTACTGCCATCCAATGATCAACATCAGAGTGCCCCAAATAGACTGGAGGGTGAAGTGGGCGAGAGCTGAGCAAAAAACATTCGCCTCTGCGACATACAATCGTTCCGCTAGCATTTATCAATCAGCCATCAAGGCCACGCGCGAATGTACGCCATCACTTTTGGGCCGCCAATATAGTGTGGATTACTCCACGTGGTATGACTAACATTGCTTTTGCCTGAGTAAATGTAATATCTAGTTTTTTTTTTCCACCCTGTGTGCTGATGTACAACGTTCGTCTCTGGAATCCTCAAGTTGAAGCTCTACCCCATATTAGGTGGTGTTTCCCGTTGTAATTTTTAACATCTCCAACAACTCGAACGTGTCAAAAGACTAGTAATGGACCCTCAACGTCAATCTGAGGTAATGCTCATAACAGCAACACAGGAGATTCACAACTGTCATGTATGAAGACTTTGAGTTGCATAGGAGGTGACAAGGAAACATATCTGGAAATATCAGTTATTTTATAAAATTAGACTTGAAAAAGAGGAAGCCTTAAGAGTTGGTGAAAAGTATTCGGAAGGTCGAAATTATTGTTGACGGCGAGGTACCTCTCTATCCCGCACGAACTCGCCTAGTTCAAAGTACCCGCGACAAATATCCACATGGCGCTAGTACAGGGTCTGGTCCTACGAGCCACTAACACGTACCAACAGTCAACTTACACGAACCAGGCCTTAAATTTCCTACTACGGAATATTAAAATTTCCTTTTCCATGTAAACACAGTGGAGCACTGACACAAATGGACAGTGAACAAGTCTGATGAAAAAGAAAGGCCAACAACAGAACGACTCAACTTCAAGAAAACAATTTTGTACCCTTGCCACGATGGTTTTCCGTCCTCCAGAAGGTTTAAAATACAAGTTGGGTGTTTTTTCCAGCCTGAAGGTGACGCTCTCTGCTACGTCATCACGAATGTAAACCACTGAATCATAGTTTCCGAGATGGGTGTACAATCTGCAAAAGTCACAGCCGACTACCATAGTAACTTCTCCTTGAGCCAGCATATGCACCATTGTCGGCTTCTACGACAAGTACATCTTCTTCCGTGTCCTAAACCGCGGGTTAGACGGCATTCGCGCTCTTAGCCAATACATCGAGGCAAGCAGCAGATGTGCAGTTTATTCTGAGTAACCAACGCATAGCCAGGAACCACAGTCTACCAGTCCACCTCCAATACCTAGTCGTTGTGTGGCTGGGACTACGTAGGGCTTTTGTATGTCAGCCAGTCGATGGGAGATTTGTAACAAGGGCTGTAGTCTGGCGAGCAACTGACACTCCGGTCACAAAACGATAGGCCACAATACATTCTCGAGATGTTGGTGACATAAGTATATATAAAGAGAGATTAAAACAACGGAGGGGGGGAAGACGCTATGCCAAAAGATTTTTTTTCTGAATCTTATTTCCTCTTTGCATCTCTCCGGTGCCAGTAACCCTCCCATTTTTTTCTGAATCTCATTCCTCTTTGCATGTCTCCCTTGTCACTTGCCCTCCCATTTCATGCATCTTCCTTCCTCTTCGTGTCATTAACCATCTCATTTTATATATCTTACTTCATCTTTGCATCTCTCTGATTCCACTATTCCATATTCCCCAACAGCATCCGCGTCGAAAGTCGCAAAACGAGCGCCCTTTCAAGCCCACTATCACTTTCATAAGACTCTCGACTCCGCCAAATTCTGCAAGACGGCGAAGCAACGTCAAATCTGGTCGATTTTCGAGGAGATATCTTTGGATCCACTAAATTGTCTTCTGCTTCGGAAGGTCTTACAGAGGTGTCACATTACTATCTCCAGCACAGATATGTACCACAACGGCTATCTGCACGGCGGGGTCCCTGCCAACAATGGGCGCTTTGGCACCGAAAATGGAAACCGCAGACACACGAGTTATGACAACTCCTACTTCACGAATGGCGGCATCCATGCCCGGAACGGCAGCTGCAACCGTATTCACCCTACTTTTGGAAGGAATCCCCAAAACAACGGCAACGACTACAACAATGGCAGCAATTCTAACCTCAACAACGGTTTCAATTGTTTCAGTTGTTTCAATTGTCAAAATAGCCAAAATAGCCAAAATGGTCAAAATGGCCACAATGGTCACAATAGCTACAGTGGCTTCAATGGCAGCAATAGTTATAATCGTCATTCTCACAATCGTCACAATGGTCAAAATGGCCACAATAGCCACAACGGCAACAACTACAGCAATGGCAACAACGACCGGCACAACTTCCAAATCCAGCCATATGGAGTTGCCCCGCCCATGGACCGCCACAACGGAAATTCCTCCATGAGCAGTATGATCTTGTCAGGTGGTTGCATCTACAACCAACAGATGCCCCTAATATACCATATATCCCGGCAATCCATGCCAACGCAGCCCCAAGCTTGGGTTCTTCCAGACATACCATTTAGACGGCCTCCACCCCCGCATCAAGGTCCGGCACTGGGTCCGTCGATGGGCCCCTACTTTCATAGTGCGCACCAGGCAGCGCCGTTCACTGTGTACAGCGGCGGCGCATATGTGGCAATGCTTCCGGGTCCCTTGCCACGACAGCGAACGGAGCACCAGTTCGATCTGGCCCGGTATCAATGCCAACGGCAAGGCCATCCACCGAACGAGGGCGGCCCCAGCCGCCGCAGCAATGGCAAGGAAAGTTGCCATGGCGAGAAAAAGCCTGTCTACAGGAACAAGTCAAAGGACAACGAAAGGCTGCCAGAAAACAGGAGGCTGCAGTATGCCGTCAAGGCCGCCGCCGAGGACGACGGGGTCCCCATTGACAGCAACGCAGTCATTGACACCGAGGACGCTCTCAAGACGTACCTCGCGGATCTCCTGCACTGTCAGCCCGAGCTCGGTTACGTCTACTCGCTCGGCTTCCAGGGTGTCATGGTCGGCAGCACCCACGACAACATCTGCGCCATGACCGTCAAGGCTGATGTCAAGATGCAGCTGCATCTGAACGGGCCTGGCTACGACCCGATCCTGATCGCAAACAACCGGACCAAGCTGGGCAACACCAACCGGACCCGGGGGACTGTCTTGCGGCCCTACCTCACACCCAAGCTCTTCGCCGCCTGTCAGCCGCGCGTCATTGACGTGAAGACGCTGGGTGCCGCTGCGTTTGAAACGCATCCCGAGAGTCACAGCGACATGTCCCTGCGCCACATTATGGAGGACGGCCGTCAGGCCAAGCTGATGTTTGCGCCGCACATGCCGGCCGTCAGCCTCGATGCGGTGTACGGCATCCGCTTCGATCGCTATGACCATGCGGATGACGAGTGCGACGGCACAGGCTCGCCACGTGCCTGCAGGGAAGAGGAGGTAAAGGGAACAGAGGCAGCGGAAATGGCGGACGAGGAAAGGGAGAGGACAATGACCAAAGCGGAAGGCAAGAAGCCGATGGCGGTGGGAACGTCGAGCACGCCGAACGCAGTGCCCGAGGCAGATGGTTCGCAGCCACCGCTTGGTGAATGCGGGACTCTGAAAGCTCCCAGCAACGTTGAGTTCCGCGGCCTCTTTGACATTCAGTTGTGCGAGGCCGTCCTGGCGCCCAGCCGAGAAATTGGAAAGACCGAGCGAGGGAGGACGGATCCAGATGCAGTGGCCGTCAAAAGCCGTCATCAGTTTCACGACCACTACAGGCTCATGAGCCTAGTCAACATTCTCAAAGCGAATCTGCGAGGCAAGTACCGCCAGACTGAGCCGCCTGCACAGCCTGAACCGTCTGACCCGTCCGACCAGGCCGGACAGGCCGGCCCAAGCGGGCCAGCTGAGCAGGTGCAACTCGGCAAGGCACGTGATAGGATTACCCATCGCCTGCGCAAGTTCCAAATCAGCTCGGCCGCATATGGACGCTTTTCCGATCAGAAGCAACGTATGCGGTGCCATTTCCGCAACGCCGCCCGGTCAAATCCAAAGGCCAACGAATTTTCCGAGGGCCCACTCGATCCCAACGACGACACCCGCGGCCTCGTTCGTTACTGCATCTACGACGTTCTGTACCTGCCCCATCTGTTTTGCAGCTACTACAACGAGATCCTGGACCTGAACCCTCGCTTACCGTTCGTGGACCAAGTCCTGCTCCAGGAGGTGCGCCGGTTCACACACCAACGAGTGCAAAAGGCGGCGATGGACAATGGCCTCGGCAGCAACAATGCCGTGTTCTCTCCGTTTGGTTGGGTCTGGGAGTCTTGGCTGGTGAGAATGCGCAAATTGTGGGAGCGAAACTACATGGGAAGCCTCTGTTTGGAAGACAGGTTCGCGTCTCTCGACACCGACATTGGTGGACTACGGGGCGGAGAGGCTCCTGAGACTCCACGAGACAATAATTTGTCGGGTTCTCGGGCACATCAAATGACGGTAAGCTTTCCCGTCTCCACAAGCCTATCTTGATGTCTTCTTTACCGTACACTGCTAACTCCATTAAAGCAAATGTTATGCATAGAGAGTGACTTGCCAGGGATTGCCATCTCACACGTAGAGCCAACCACGCCACCCACACAACCTCTCGTGGCAGAGAATGTCTCTCACGAACGCTCGCGGTATGAATCCGAGGAGGAGTGAATTTCGTCTCTGATGTCACACGCACACACGGTAAGAAAACGGACCCTCCCTCCCCCCCCCCCCCCAAAAAAAAATAACAACATATTTCACGCCCTACACACAACACCATAAAATCCTTTTCCGCTGTGGTCACACTTGTGCGCACGGGAACATATTTATTGCAAACGGGACTAACGAATTTCCCGCAGACATCCGTAGTTGATTTAAAACTTTGTACCAATCTGCTGTTTTGCAAATGTCTTTGATACCCAGGTCATCCGGTATGACCTAGTACTTTGTCTTATGCGTTCATTTCACATTCTCACAAACATTTGTTATGCTTTACTGTGATTTCTTGTTCTTGGTTTTTTATACCCTTTTTTGGAATATTGTAGTTCCATGTTGGTCTGCTTTTTGTGTGTTTTATTTTGTCTCGTTTCTGTCATATCCAAAGCTATGCTCCGCTCGACGATGGCTTCCTTCCTAGTCCAATACAGCTACGACTCATTCCCAAGTTTTAATCGTCCGTATCATTTCACGTCTGCCTCCACGTCCTCATCGTGAATGTACTTGTCGTACACATCTGCATAAAATCGTTGGCCCACGTCACGGTGGCTACGCACTTTGGTCCGCAGCTGTGACTCGCCCCAGGTGTCGTAGCGGCCACGTAAAAATGCAGAGTCAATCTGCCGACCCTCGGCCGACTCGGCCGTCTCGGCCACTCCTGCGTCCAAAAATCGCTCCGGAAACGTGGTCTCAAAGTGCGTCCGCAGCCCCAGCGCCTCTGCCTTGGTCAAGTCCCGCCGCACGCCCTGGAAAAAGGGCACACTGAACCGCTCCGGCGTGCCCGGCAATACCTCCACGCGGTGCGTCGTGGCCGGACACACGCCGTGCGTCACCACCTCAAAGGCCTGGCCAATGTTGACCACAAACGTGCCCGGCACGGCGGGCACGTCGATCCACTGACCGGCGCGGTTGAGTGCCTGGAGCCCACCGACGGGCGGCGGACTGGCTTGCAGGAGGAACGTCCACCAGCCCGACGAGTCCTTGTGCGGGCCGACGCCCTGGACGCCGCCCATGACCTTGTTATTGATTTTGCTTCGGACCCCGTCATAGCCCTCCAGTCCGGGGTACCGCACCAGCTTGAGGCGGTGCTGGTCAGACAGAAACGGCTGGAGGGCGTCGGGTGGTAGGTCCAGCGCCTCGGCGACGAGCTGCAGGAAGCGCGCCCCCAGCGCCGTCAGGGCATCCAGGTATGCCTCCACGACGGTGCGAATGTCGCGGTCGGTCCCGGGCACGGTCACTGCCCCTGCTTTGGGCCACTGGTTCGGGCCCCGCAAGCGTTCGTACACTGGCTTGTCCGGGGTCCAGTTCGCCGTACGCTCCGTCGCAAACTCCACCTGCTCGCGTCGGTCCGCTTGACCCGCCGTCGTTTCTGCGCCGGTCGCACTGTAGCCCAGAAAGTGTGGGGAGTTGCGCAAGTTGATGGCGTCTTTGGCTTCGTCGGGCAGGGCGAACAATGCGGACAACACCTTGACCATGTCGTCCACTGTCTGGTCCGGCACGCCGTGGTTGGCGACATACAAAAAGCCGACGTCGACAAGCGCGTTGCGCAATCCGGCGAGTAGCTCTGGTCGGCGGACCGGGTCGTCGGCCCATGCCAGGTCAATCGTGGGAATTTCCCGAAAGGCCATTGTCGACGTATGCGCGTTGTGTTGTGAAGCACAGGACCGTGTTTGAAAAAGGCGCCGGTTTTGGAGCTTTGGCCCAGAATGGCGGGATTGCCACGCAGAATGTCGCTACCCGTAAGCCAGACAAGTAAGTTTCGGAGCTAAAAGTTCCATCCGCCATCTAAGACGCGTAGTATCATTAACACTGCTGGGGATTGCGCCAGCATGTCAGTCTAAGAGTGATAAAAAAATATGTTCTGCAAAGAGAGAGACCGGTTTCCCAGTCTTTGAATTCCAGGCACGGAAGCGGGAGACAACGTGGCGCATGGAGTGTAAATCCACGTTGAATGTCTGACGCAGAGGATGATAAGACACTGAGACAGCAGGGTCCAATGAGATGTGGGTGAGACTGTCGGTTGCGCTTCAACATCACGATGATGGAGAATAAATGGACTTGCAGTATTTCAATCGAAAATGTATGGTCTTGCAATTATGTACCAAAGGATCGCCTGGTATCCTGGAAAGTATGTATAAAGTATATAAAAATGGCCAATGCAGCATTGTTCAGGACAGACGGCAGCCAGTGTGAGAGGCCAAATAATGAAGAGAAGAAAGAAGCTGAAGGAGTGAAATAAGTGAAAAGAGAACAACAATAGGGGATATCCAAAACGCAAGCTGAAATAATAAATGATCGCAAAACGAAAAACGAAAAGCATCGAAGCATGACATCATCCAAAAAGCTATAAATTGCCAAAGAACGAGTGCAGCACGGCACACATGCCGACGGCCCAAAACAGCAGCGGATGGCACTGGAAGACGTTGGTACATCCAGCCGACGAGGCCGCATTGGCCGTGTTCGGCGTCGCACCGGACGAAGACGCCGCCGCCGACGAGCCCGCGAGCACCTTTTTCCCCGTCGGGTACTCAATGTTGTACACGGGCTGGCTCGTCAGGGAGACGGGGTCGCCCAGCGTGTCCGGGCACGTCGCCTGGTTCTGGTCGGGCCAGTTAGTGAGTGTGCACACCTCGTCGTACCCGTAGGTGCAGATGGGGTCCAGGATGTTGTACAGCACGTAGTTGCTGGCGACCCAGTTGGCGGTGCCCGCAGCCTGCTTCTCGAGGCAGCTATTTAGGAAATTCATGCTGTTGGAGGCGCTCAGCGGCAGCTTGGACCCGGACGTGCTGATGAGCCCCGCGCACTTGGACGCGTCGACGTTCTCCGTGTCCATGCTGATCGCGCCGCCAGCCGTGGGGTCCGCCGTTGCCGACTTGCCGGTGACTAAGTAGTTCCAGGCGTCGTAGCTGACATCGTGGGCACCGCCCGACTGGTCCACGCGCAACAAATACACCTGGCGGCCTTGGTAGGACAGTGACACGCAAATGTTGTCGCAGTCGACGGCCATGGGCCAATAGGCAATGCGGTTGGTGTTGACCTTGCAGCCGAGGACACCAATCGACGAAGAGTAGCTGGCATGCGGTGTGACAGGGACCGACGAGGAGGCAGCAGAGGCGGCAACAGCGGCCGTGAGGACCGAGGCCCAGGCGCGTATTGAAGAGAGCATGGTAGGCGTGGTAGATGGGGGAGGATTGTCGAAGTGTTGCGCCAAAGTGAAAACGAAAAACGATCTTAGTGGATGACGAAAAGGACAACATCGACAAAGAATCCGGGTCGAACAGGAAAAGCAAGTGGAAGGAGTGACAAAAACAGATCGAAACAAGGAAGCGGGAAGAGAGCGTGAAACCCGGTAAAAGGAGATGCGAATAACGGGTCGATTGGCTCGAAGGACGTGTGAAGCGCCGTTCGCAGACAGGCCGGTAGCAGGAGAACAAAAAATCTCGTCGAGAGAGCGTAGTTACGCAGGAGTGTCGTCGATTTTAGTCGAGTTGTTTGAATTGCGCCTTTTCCAAGTGCCCCCAAAAACAAAGAACGCAGGGTCTCTCGAGAGCCTAGTATTCGGTGACCACAGACATTGTTGCGGGAAAATGAGGGAATGATAATGCTGCAAACAAACACAGTCTCAAGACGCACGCAAAGGAGTGGGCGTGTCGTGGAGAGAACGCGTGTCGCAGATTGCAAAAAAACAAGGTCGAAGAGAGAAAGGGTAAAAAGGCAAAAAGGAAGCTTAATTTTACGCTAGTCAGATCGCGACAATGGGCAAGCGCCAGGCACAATTCTAGCAAGACACAGACTAACAGGGGCGACCGGGGTGAAAAGGAGTGGGGAAATTTGTTTTCTCTCCTCACTTGTTCCTTCCCTGCAATTTTGCTAGCGCCGGTACCGTCGCATCGAGTGCGCTTTTCGATTGCTCCTGCAATGAGGCCTGTAGTACTTTGTAATTTCACGCCTGGACTCACTTGCGGCGGGACCTGACGGGTGGATGGGCTCTTTAAAGCCCCAAAACGATGCTGGTCTGGCCAGGTATGCAAGCCACACTTTAGCCACACTGGACGCTGGTGCCGACCTCCTGGATATCTGCGACCTTGCCATGGCGAAAACAAAAAGGTGGAATTGAAGTGTAAGATGGTGAAGAGATCAAGAAAGGCCCAAGGTAGTTCTTGTTTCTTGTAAGTATATAAGGTAGTTTCTTCAAAATATCAGCCAGATTTGTACCAAAATAAACAAAAAAAAAAAAAAAAAAATAAAGGATACCCAATGGATCAAATCGATTAAATGTATGTCTACATATACTCATAACATATTTTAAATATATAATCACAGACGAATCTCACACGAAAGCAACAAAATAATGAGCATGGCTAGACTTGTCACTACGCAAGGTAAACAATAACGGAGGCTCAATAGTAATACAATTCGAATTGCCTATTCAAAATTACAGACGCTATGAAAACCCTCGTTCTGGGTCGTCACACTACAAAAACAACGGCAATGAATCCATGGATACAAAGCAGCAGTACCTACGTGCTGCTGTCCTTGGTGGTGCTTCCTGCGCTGGAGCACACATTTGGACCAGCCGTGAGCGCCTTGGATACTTGCTCGGCGACCACATCATGGATCGGGTACGTCGGGTGGAGGCTGTTCAGCCAAAAGTACTGGTCGACAGGCACGCCGCATGATTCAATGACCGTGTCAGGCTCCGGCGTGCCGCTGGCATCCTGGCTTAGCATTGTGCGTTGATGTGTCATGAACGGGGGCAGGAGGATGGGGCGACATGGACCTACTTTCCGTATGCTGCACAAAACGATGTCGTGTTCTTGAGACCGGCCGTCTGCGGGAACGAGGCCGGGTCGTCCATGGCCGCATTGAAGACCAGGCCCGTGTCCACGACCCAGACATTGGCGTGGTCGGCATGCTGCGACTTGAGGTCGGCGGCGAGGCCGTCTTTCAGCAGGCTGTTGAAGGCGGCAATGTCGGCCTTTTCGAGGGCCTGGGCAGCAGCATCGCCGCCGGCCGCTGTGAGCGGACTGCGGTCGACGGGCGGGACCGTCAGGAACACAAAGTTGCGGCCGCCCGCATTGTAGAGCATCCCGACCATGTCGCCGTACACTTCAAAGATGCGCCTGTTGATCTCTGTCGTGCCGTTGACGCCGTCGACGCCGTGGTGGTACGAGTTGCCGACGTCGTTGATGCCGATCCAGATGGCAAACAAAGTATCGTTACCCTGCCACGCGGGTGCGTTGGGTGCCGACGGATGGGTCTCGCTGACGTCCGTGTCACTGTTGCCATGGTTGGTGAAGCCGGGCAAGAACTCGCTGTGGACCTGGTCCTTCATGGACAAGACAGTGGGCCTGTAGGGCTGGACAATGTCGCTGTCGACAGTCGCACCACCATACGCCAGGTTGTACGTCCGCAGCCGCGAGGCGTTGTACTTGGTGGAGAGAAAGCCGACCCAATTGGGTCCATTAGACGACGTCCATCCCGGGTACGGCGGGTTCCCCAACGGATTGTCAATGGACGGTGTGGGCGTGATGGAATAATTGAAGCCGGTCTGCGTGTAGCTGTCGCCACTGGAGGAAACATGCGTGTTGGTGGAGGGCAGATCATGGGTGTCTGACGGGCGACTGACTTACAAGATAAAAGCATATTGTATGCCTTTCCAGCCGGGCCATTGACTCGTAGCGTCGCAGGTCGACGCCTTGGGAACCGAGCCAGACCAGGATGCCGGGGACGGCGCTCCAAAGGCGAGGCCGCCGGCGACGGACGATGCAACCGCAGCGTGTGCCGCAAACTGACGCAGTGAGTGCATGGCAGCGAGGACGAGGACGACTATGGCTACAGCGGCTGCAAAGTACGCGACGGCTGCTACTAGAGATGAGATGCAGGATGACGATGATGGCCGGCGTGGATGGCGCCTTGGACGGTTGCTGCCACTGTTGGAAAAGGAGGAGAGAAAGGACGGCAGCAAGCTCTCGCTCTTTTGATCAGCCAATCCGAGATTATGTGGGCTCCTTATGCTCCCCCGTCGATGCGTGAAAAAGGAAACAATGACCACGACCATGACGGCAGCGGGCACCCAAGGCAGGTACAGCGGCGGCAGGTACGACCCTTTGCCAGTCCCCGGCCCCAAGCCGCTGCCTCCTGCGGCGGGAGCAGGAGCAGGAGCAGCCTCTCCCGCGGTCATCTTTGGGCTGCGAGATGCCTTTGGCAGCAAATGTGGCCTTCGGATGAAGTGGCTTCGCCTGCCGATATTGAAATAGATTGTGCCGCGCAAAATAAAAGCCAGCCGGTAGATGTCGTCGCAATCGTTGTGCCGTCCGTTTCTGAAAGGTAACCGGGTCGTCCAAGATGGGTGGAAGAGACGCAAGATACAAAAGGCCAAAACAATATGAAGGGATGCAAGAAGAAGACTGAAAAACTGAAAAAATACGGTGGCAGACTTTACGAGACCAAGTGGTTTGTGGTTTGTGGAATGCCTCCAATTCGGCGTCTCCAGAGGCAACTTACACGGTGGGAGAGAAGCAGCAGCATGTGAACCCAAGAAGCCGCTGAAACCGCTGTACGACGTAGCTTGGGTGGCCTTCTACCCCAGCTTTAGGGCGTTGCAGGGTGCTCGGCGATCACTGTGTGGAATCATCGACAAGGTTTCTTGTCCGCTAGTGTCACGTGAAGCTTCAAAGCAGACAAATACGGTGGACGGAGTCGCCAATTCCGAAGGTTAAAGAGAACACGGCGACGAAGCAACGATGATAACGGATAATGTATTGTGCAATAGCGAGGCAAGAGAAGAAGGAAATCAACGTGAAAACAGTCGTTTCGTCATTAGGGCCATACCCAAAGAAACACAAGAGGCCATGTCAAGATCCACTCAAAAGCAAAAGATCCGCCCAAAATCGTATCCAAGAAAACACATCAGCCAAACCGAGTATTCCAATATTCGTTTCCAAATTCTGTCTGTAGTCTATCTCCTGTAAAAACAAACCATATATTCCCAAAAGTGTACCACCAAAACCATCTCCACTACGACGTACAGATAGCTTCGCTCACGTCAGCGTGGCCAACATGGCCCTCATCAGCTTCGGTGGTGGACCTGGATGTGTTAGCTGTGGATTCTTGGGCCCTTTGAAGACGTCTGACTAGGAAAAAAGGGCAGCGGACCTTTTTATCTTTTATCGATACTTGGGCACGCTGATGGCCATCCTACCTTTCTTGTCCTTTTCGATGCGCACGCCGTTCCGCGGCTCCTCGAAACGCTCGACCTGCTCCTCGTACAGCACCAGCTCGCCCGTGCTCAGGCGCTCGGCGCGGACGAGGTCACGATTCGAGGACGACACGGGCTCGTAGTAGTCGCGCTCCTCGCGGTAGTAGCGGTCGTCGACGGTGACGTCGTAGTAGCGGTCATCGCGGTCGCGGTCGCGGCGGCCATGGAAGTGCGCATAAAGGGCGCCGTCGCCGTGCGAATGCGACCGTGCACGACGGTGTCTAGAGTGCGAGTGGCGGTGGCGATGGCGGCTCTTGCTGCGGTGGCGGTTGTCCACAATGGCGACGGCCAGAGGCTCCTCAGAGACCTCGACGGCAGGGCTGCCGGCATCGTAGACGACGGGCGCCAACGCCAACGACCTTGGGTCGCGAGAGCGCGACCGGGATCTGGTCCGGACCAAGGCGACAGACGTCTCGTTCATCGAGGGGCCTGCATAGCTGCGTGCAGGTGAGACGTCGCGAATGTGGATGTTGGTTGTCCCGTAGGCCGGTGAGCGCTCGACGGGATCGGGTGCTGGGACGACGACAGGGGCGGGTGCATACTGGACCGTAGGCGGCGGCGGTGCCGTGTAGTACACCTGCTGAGGTTGGTACATTTGCGGTGGTTGTGGAGGTGGTGGAGGCGGTTGGTATTGTTGCACTGGTGGGGGCTCCGGAGCCATCACTACCTCTTCACGTCGGCGTTCTTCTTCGACAACGGTGCCGCTCGATGTCTTGACCTTTGTCTTCTTGGTCTCGACGATGTCTACTTCGTCTGGAAGCATGTTAGGAGACGGCCAGGCGAATAATAATGGACGAAATAAAAAATAGAAAGGGACATGAAACAAGGCAACATCGGTATGATACTCTTTTTGTAATCGCGGCTCAGCTTGAGGACGTCATCAATGTTGTCCTGACCGAGAGCCACCTGGACGACTAGGGTGTTGCCCTGTAATGAGTTGGATGTTAGTTCTCGTCGACCAGGATACAGCACATTTAGGACCTCATTCAAAATGCACAGACTGCTTGGGGGAAAAAAAGAAAAAGAAAAGAAAACACAACACACCTCTTTGATAAATGGATAGCCAAGGTCGATAAGGACTTTCTCCGACACCAGACGCGCCGGCATCCGTGTCTTGCCCTTCTTCGGGTACTCGCTCTTCGGCGCGCGCCTACTCCGGCTGCCCTCGCTCCGCAGCGTCACGCCGTCGCTCGACTGCGACCGCACAGACGTCACGGAGATGGATCTTTGCGATGCCACCGACGGGGACCGGGGCCGAGACATCCTCGCCTCGACGACGGGCCCGCTATGCCGCTCGTTGACGATGCGTTCCTCGACAAGGCGGTCGTGCTCGCGGATGGCGTCGTGGCCGTGCGCACGTTCCAGCTCAAAGTCTCGCTCGTGCCGCTCATAGGACCCACGGCGCCGGCGGCGTTCAATGTCGATGTCGTCCACCTCCAGGCGGCCCGGCTCGATGCGAATCTCTTCAATCTCGGTCCGCTCACGCTCGCGACCACGCTCCCGGTCACGCTCCCGGTCACGCTCGCGGTCTCTCTCGTACTGCTCCCGGTCGCGCTCGTACTCCTGCTTCCGCCGCTCGGCCGAGCTGTCCCGGCGCCGGCGGATGGGCAGCGGAATGGGCACGTTGACGGGCGGGCGGCCGTCGTACGCGTCGACGCGGTCCAGGTCGTAGTTGCGGCGGGCCGGGCGGCGGTCAAACGTTTCGACGCTCGACTGGCGACGGATCAGACGGCCCGGGCGTGGCGGCGGCGGTCCGCTGCTGCCCACAATGCTGTCCTCGGCGTCACGGATGCGGACCCGTTCGCGCCGCTCGAAGTCGTCGGGGATCACGGCCGGTGGGGCCGGGCGGCGGCGTGCCGAGGCGGGCAGAATCAGGCTGTCATCGTCGCGGTCGTCGTCAATGTAGCGGCGCTCGCGCGTAACGACTTCTTCACGGCGGCCGGGCGGAGAGCGCTCACGGAGACGAGTCGGCGCCGGACCGGGGCGGCGGTCGTAGGCGACATACTCGTCGTCCTCCTCGTAGCGGATCCGGTCGTCGCGCCGGCGGTCACGGTCACGTTCGTAGACGACACGGTCGCGTTCATAATCACGACGATCGAGGTCCCGCGACATGATGTCTGTCGTGTGGCAGGGTTGTTTGTGGGACGTGAATATGAAGCAGCAAAACGGGCAGATGCAGATGACAGTTTCACCCGGCAAAGGCTGTGAGACTCAAAAGGAAAATGGAGGGATTTGTTACTATGTCGCTCGTTCGTCGTGCTTGAAAGGCTGCTTTGGCTGAGACAAGGCTTGCACTGAGGTGCGTCGCTAGTATTAGAGATGCAATGTTGGTGTGGACGGCCCTGCACACGAGAGGGGAAAGAAAAAGAAGCAGTTGTGCAGGCCAGTTGGGAAAGGATCTGTAAACGAGGGCTTCAAATCCAAGATTCTATTGACAGGTGGAAGAATAATAGAACATTGATGGCCCACTGGAGAAAAAAGTAGAAGGGGGATGAAAGAAAGGGGTCAGGAAGAAAAGTGGTCGCGCAGTCGTACGACGTACACGTACCCAGTTGCCATTTCAGCCCAGAGACTGGTCCGATGACGACACGGAAAGAGCGATGCAGAGCCCAAAGCAGGAACTGCGACCGCGGGCAAGAGTGAGGGGCAGCCACCAGAGAGGGGAAGGCCAGCTGGAGCGAGCGAGGAAGGTGCAGGGGTGTGCCGTGTGCGCTGCACGCTGCGGATGGAGCGCTGTGTTACTGTTGAGCCGTTTTCAGCAGCATGCTTTTTGGTTACATCAGTTTGCAAGTAGAGACGCAGAGCACTCGCCATGTCCTACCCATACAACAAAGACCGCACGCAGCGCCCAATAAACAGTCACGCCTACGATTGCATCGAAAGGAGGGTGCCTGGACGACGTCCTCGCGGACTCTCTATGCGTCGCAGATGCGGCGCAGTCACGCCTACAGCCTCTCTTCGATTGGCTGCCTCAAGCCGAGTGGCTGATGCTCGAACATGTTCGAACCGTGTCGCTCTCTCTCATGTCAAAGGGTTGCCTAACCCAAAGTCGATGCGAAAAGGGGCCAAATCAAAACAAAGGGCAGTTATGAGGCCAAACAGTGGACGGGACATGGGACTTGCCGAACCGGTGGCGAATGCCATTTGGGCGACATGCCTGGAGGCCTGACGATAGGTTTTAACATAAGTATGTTGCACAGGTATGCATTTTAGCGGTTGGTTTAGTGAGCGTTGGGCCGTTGCCGTGAACCGTGCCCGCGGCCGCCAGAGAGAGCCTTACAGGCCGACCCAAACCGATAGACGGTGCCCAATCTGCGACATCAGGCGATACGGCACAACCACAAGTGTTTTTGTTTCGTAAATAGCACCGACGCTGATCGTTAACACAACGGGCCTTACGGTCCGAAAGAGAAGGATTCGACGGAGTTCAATGTCTGTATGTGAGAGAGATGCCCCCTTGCCCCTGAGCCCCTGTAAAAATAGACGCACGACGCTAAAGTTGGGCTGCCGAAGACGCTAAAAAAACTGCACCCAACACCCTGGCAACAACTGCACAATGACGTAGTTGTCAGAGTAGGCCTAATATTTTTTCGAAGAAAATTTTGAATACAATATCGGAACATTTCTTGAATACCAAAACAACAAAATTAAAGAAAATGACTATTATGCAAGAGTCGAATCGCAGTCTATCGTATCGTTTCCCCTCTGTCCCATGCAAATTGTGTTTCTGAATGATTCCTCTAGAATGAACGGTACAGCAACTCAAAAAAGAGACATGGAAACAGGAAACAAAAAAAAAATTAATACAACTAAACCCAAATAAACTCATGCCGCAGACGAATACTACAAAATTGATTACGGGACAAGAATAGCACTTCTATGCAAAGTAGCTCTTCCACAAAACACCCTCGAGGTCCTCCAGTTGCTCGGGGGTAAAGTACTAAAACGGTTAGCATTTGGTGGCAATGGGTCGGGGAGGGGGGCTCGGAAACAAGAGGCACTTACTGTTTGGTCCACAATCCACGTGTCTTGCCGCGTCTTCTTGAACTCGGACAGAATCGACTTGGTCGCGTTGCCCACCACGCCCGGGTCGTTGGCCGTCCTCGTCGCCAGGTGCGACAGCACCTCGGGCATCCACGACGGTGGCGGTGTTGCGTACGGGAACGCCTCGATCAGTGCGCCCAGGCCCAAGACGGCCGCGTGTCGTCGAATGACCTGGCGCTTCGTGTCAATGGGCGTCTCGCGTCCGCTCGCGGATTCGACGCCCGCCACCGCCGACACCGCCGAGACCACTGACCGCTTTCGCTTCGGCATGGGATTGGCCGCGAGCTGCTCCTTGAACCGCTGCATCAGCGACTGGATGATGGGGTTGCGGATCGACGCCGGCGAGCAGCGGATCATTCCGGCCAGCGTCGCCGCCGCCGAGTCGCGCACCTCGAGCTGTGCGTCCGCCAGCATGTCGCCGACGGCGTCAAACAGCAGCGTGCGCTGGGCGGGGCGGCTCAAGAACAGCCGCCGGAAGTAGACCACCTGCATGTTGATGAGCGCACGCAGGCGCTGGTGCCAGCTGGGCGCCGCCCGACCGACGTCAATCAGCTTGCGGATAAAGGCGTCGTCCTCGCCCTCGCGCAGCGGGATGTTGGGCAGGTGCCGGTACACGTGGTACGCGAGGCGCATGAGCTCCGGGTCCTCCTTGACGTCCATCATATGCAGCAGCTGGTCGATGAACAGCTCCGGGAAGAACTGCACCAGCTCCGTGCACTCCTGTGACGACAGCATCCAGTCGAGCCACGTCAGCACCGTCTTGGATCCGGATGTGTAGCTGCTCTGCTCCTGCTGACCGGGCACGCGCTCGTGGCGCCACGCCTCCAGCCGCTTGAACACCTCCGTGACAATGGCCGAGAATTCGCTCGTCGCATGGTACGGGCGGATGCCTACCGACGACGCAGCCTTGTTCTGCTCGAGAAGGGCCGCCACGTTGGGGAACGACTCGTGGTAGCGCGTGCGGAAAATGGTCGCCAGCACCCGGCCCATGGCCTCCCGCACCGCCTTGTACGGGTGGTCAATGTGCGCCAGCATGTCCGACACAATCGGCTTCTCGCCGCGGAAGTGCCAGCCCGCATCGCTAATCAAGAACTCGAGCAGCGTCACCTTGGACGACTCCTTGAACGCCGCATTGGACGTCATGTCCAGCCGGAACGAACCCAGGCCCAGGACGAGCTCGCGTGCCCGCCGGGGGTCCCTGATCCCCGTAATCATGTGCACGCACGTCATCCAGTACTGCAGATTCTCGGGCGTCAGCTTGTCGTTGATAATGTCGAGCAGAAGCGGCCCCGCAAACTCCCAGGCACGGTCGCGGTACGCCTTGGGCTCGTCCGGGCCGACGGACAGCAGGGCCGCGACAATCTCCGCAGTGGCCCGATGCTGGTGGCGGTCGGAGCCATCGTCGTAGACACCACGGACCAGCTCCTTGACTTCGTCAAACGTGACGGCCGCCACGCCGCTGTGCACGAGCTCAAACACGTACGACAGCATCGACACGTAGCGCACCTTGAAGCGGTCGGCGTTGGCATCGCGCGGCTCCTGCTTCATGTAGTCAAAGTACTGCTTGAGCCAGTCCTTGGTCAGGATCGTGCCAATCTGCTCGCGGGCCGCCGTGCCGACCGCATCGAAGCGGTTCATCACAATGGTCGGGTCGGCGCTGTAGCCCGTAAACGACTTGCCCCACACGAGCCAGCCAGGGTAGTCTGAGTCAATAAAGTACGAGGTGCTGTCTGCATCGCCGCTACTGTCACCGCTGGTCGCTGGGCCGTGCCCATTGGCTTCCGGCGCCTGGATGGCAAACGAGTCGAGGTACTGCTTGGTCCATGCCGCATCGCCGCCCGTGGCCGGGACCTGGATCTCGAGGCGGTTGTCCGTCCGCTCGTTGTCCAGTAGGTAGTTGCGGTAGTCGTTCTTGTAGCAGGCGCGCAGCGCCAAGAACATAAAAATGTTCGCAAACGCGTTTTGGTAGCCAGCCCGCAGTGTCGGGTGCTGGCTGATGGCGCCGTTGGCGGCGAGCTCAATGAACGCGGCGGGGGCGAGCGTGTCGAAACGCAGACACAGGTTATTGGCGAACACGGCACAGCGGCTGGCCACCTTCCAGTGGGATTTGGCGGCAATCTCAATCAGTTCGAGGCCGAGCTCCGCCTTCTTCTGCTCGACCTTGCGGCGCCGCTCCAAGATGAACGAGTGCCGCTTCTGGATCTTTTCGGCGCTGTCGCCGAGGTCGTCCTTGCTGGCCGGCGTGATGGTGGCGAGGGTCGCTTCGTCGACAATCACCATGCGCTCAAACGCCTTGCCAAAATCGAGCAAGGGGAAGAGCGCGTTCGCACCCATCTGCTGGATCGACGCCTTGTCAACGTCGGCCGACCGGATATAGAGCCGGATCAGCGTCGGGGCAAACCGCCAGTCACGGATCAGCGTCTTGATGAGCGACGTGAACAGCAACGTGTACATGGCACCCTTGATCCGGTCGTGGTCACTGTTGTCCAGCGACTCCTCGAGCGTGCGCAAGACAATGGGAATCACCACGGGGCGGCTGCCAATCAGCACCTTGAGCGACGACTCCTGCGCCGACTGGGCGGCCCGGCGTACATCAGCATACACAGACGTACAGGACTGGGCGAGGTCTTTGATAAGCTGCTTGTCCAGCTGGCTGGTCAGCCGGTAGGTCGTGTTGTACCTCACGCGCTGCAGCTGGTACGCGTCGGCGCGCTTGACGAGCAGCGGCCGCGGGTACGCCTTGCGCAGGCCGTTGATTTTGAAGGACGCAATGTCGGAGCGGTACAGGCGCAGCAGCCGGTCGAGTGGTCGTGACGTCCGCTCAAAGCCAACATCCGTAATGAAGGTCCGGTACGTGGTGTACAGCTCCGTAAAGCAAGCGACGTCGTCTTCCTGGAATGCGACAAGGAAGCGGTGCGTTCGGGCGAGCAGGTAGCCGACTGTTTCGCGGAGCTCGTGGATGCGCTCAAAAAGCACACTCTTGCGGTCGAGGACGTAGCCGTGTGGGTAGGAGAACTCGCGCTTCAGATCGTCGTCGGACGCCACCTCGGCAAGCGGATCCACGTCCT